ATTTGGAGACATATTTTGCGATAAGTCAAAATATGGAATAGGTGCGAATACCCCCGAATACTCGACACCATACAGTAGAGATTGCACCAGCAGAAACTGTGGCAAGCGACCTAACACGACCGAACAACCTAACAACAACCTTACGAATTGATTTTGGGAGAAAAAATAAGAAACACTGTAAGCCGAGACGACAGAGCAAATTTCGAAAGTCATGAGAGCACAGAGGCGGACGAATTGCGGACAGCGCTTGCGATACCGGTAAGATGAAGCCTCGAGTTCCAGGACGTAGGTTCTTGGTCCTCCGTAGCGCAAGCTCATGTACACTCAGTCAACTTTGCACATCTACATCGTTTGCGAAAAACATGGATGGACGAAAAATCGTTTTTGTTTAATTTCAGCGGTGAATTAGTCACATTGTTGAATGGAAAAAAGGAACGTTTTTCACCCAGAAATTAAACAGCACACTTCAAACTATCCTACTTACTATAAAGCGCTTCGTCTGTCGTCTGTCTGTCGTCTGTATGTCTGTCACGAAATTCCCTAGCTCCTCGGGATCCGCCTGGAGGGACCGGGTCAAGTGTGGAATGGGTGGGCAAGGTCTCACGAAGTACAAAACACACATCAGCTAAGCGGAGCCCGCCCACAGTGGGCGTGGCGTTCTCCAAAAAAGCAGTGCTTTATGAAAAATTTCATAACTCGGTTGGGAGAAAGCCTACAGAGCAGAAAACAAATTGGTGTAGGGGAGCAATGTCTAAGGTGTTTCCCAGCATACATGACGTGGGCGGAGGCCGCCCACAATGGGCGGAGGCGCTCTGAAGTGTACAGCGTTTTCTACAAGTCCTCATAATTCGGGCCGGAGAAGTCTTAGTGAGCCGGAAAAAGGTGGATAGAGGTGGGTGAAGGAGTGGAGCCCAGCTGCAATTCTGTTGTTGTGTTGTGCGTGTCCAAAGTGGGCGGGAAAATTCATAACTCGGTCTCCAAGAAGTCCTGGAGACCGGGAAAAAAGTGAATTGAGTCCGTCAACGGAAAGGGAGGTCAACTGCTATTGGTGGGTGGGCGTGCACCAACGTGGGCGGAGTTTGCCCTAAACTTATAATTTAGTTCCAAGAAGTCCAGGAGACCGGGAAAAGAGTGGGTCGAGTCCGACAACGCACGGGAGGCAACTGCTATTGGTGGGCGGAGCATGACCAAAGTGGGCGGAGTTTGCGACGGAAAATTCATAACTCGGTTCCAAGAAGTCCCGGAGACCGGGGAAAAGGTGGATGAAGGAGTGGAGCACAACAGCGTTGGTGTGCAGGGCACGTACAAAGTGGGGGGATCAGTATACGTAGTGTCTATCCTCTCATACAACGTGCTCATTCCTAGAAATTCCACGTCTTTTCGTTTTACCACGGTTAATCTCACGTCAAAAGGAGGCCCTTTATAGGAGGGTTGTGACGACGATATATCTGGCATCGTAAGTGGCAAAATAAGATCCTAATAGCTTGGAGTGGTAGCGAGCGTTCACGAAGCACGGGTCCTAGCGAACTGGAGTGTACTTCACTCAACAACGGACAAGAGCTGCAAACTTGACCGTCAGTGTGGAAGGACCAAAAAGAAATACTCAAACACTGAAATTAAGGGCCTCCTTTTGACGTGAGATTGACCGTGGTAAGACGAAAAGACGTGGAATTTCTAGGAATGAGCACGTTGTATGAGAGGATAGACACTACGTATACTGTTGATATTAGGAATATCAGCGGCCACAGTGGTCAGAAAGACGCAACCGCCACAGGCCACGATACCTGCGCCTAGAAACTTTGCTGTCGCACCACGGAGAGAAATACTCTAAGAATTCATCCCCTCGAAGTCCTGACTCCGAGTATAGATATGAGGCCAGGCTTTCGGCACTCCAAGCTCTAGCCAGCAATAGTAGCCCGCGTCGGCCGCTCCATCTTAGAGGTGGCGTCGCATTTGGATGATAAACCGTAGCGGAATTGTGGCGCTACAGAGTGGCGAAGATCATGCACTATGAAACCTGGAAACCCGTCCACCATATATATAGCTGCTTCAGGCTAAAACGATTGAGATGTACCTTTCTCAATGGCGATGGAAAACGATTGGCATTCTAGAGTAGGTGGAGGCTTTCCGCTTCCGGAGGGGCATTTCGGGAATAGTTTGCTGTGAGAATTCCATTATCTACGCCACTCTTTTCGACACACGACACAACGACATTGCCTACGTCACACTTTTAGTCGAAACTGTTGATTTACCTTTGATTTACGAAATGTTTATTTCCGAGAGCCCCTCTATTTTTTCCACGGAGGAGAGTTGTTACAGTCAGCTACTCGCATTGCGCCTTCGAGTATAAACCGATTCTACAACACAAGAAAGCATACCTGCGTCTGTTCCTTCTAATCTATCCTGAAGGTGTTTTGTCGTTTCTGTAAGCATCCTAGCAGCTTGAGCGCGAACGGACCAAACGTCATTGTTCTGTAGAACATCCACAACAAAAGAAATTATCTCTTCTCGATACATGCGAACGGCTGCCTCTGTGCCTGAATTGAATGCTTTTCAGAGAACGGAATTCATGGTTCAATTAGAAGATGGTAGAGGAACGGATGCTGTTGCAAAAAAACATTACGCTGTACATATTTAATGGGCAACTTAATGAATGACTAACTCAAACTTACTGGGCACAATTTCGTTCCAGAGATCGGACCATTCCTCCTGCCGTTTCTTGGAAGCTTCGTCACCACGCACCACTGAAGTAAAGCGAAGCTTAATTTACCAAGCCTTTCAGGAGTTTGAGAAAATGCGCCTCACCAAGCTGGCACGTCTCCATAAAAACGTAGGGCACCACAAGTTTGGAGTAACCCTGTAGGAGCTCAGAACAGTTTGCGGACAAGTTCTTCAGAACGTGCTTTGCCGACTGTTTCATTGACTCTGCAGAAAGTTGTGAAATTTGCGAAAATCAGATCAAAGCTCACATGAGCAAAATAGAGGGAAAAGGTAATATTGGAAATTACCAGCGCTAATGAAGTTGACGAGCCCTATATGCCCCTACTATATACATACCAGTCAAAAACAGACAAAAAAAACTTCATCGACAAAATGACCTCCTTTCCCAATTTGTTTCCAACTTTTTTAAACACACAAAATATTACATACAAATTTTTAATAAATTAATTTGATTGAATTTGAATAGAGTACTTTTTCCAGAGGAAAAAAATCCAGAAGAAGGGTTAATATTATTTACATACCTTTTTCCAGAGGAAAAAATTTACATAGAGAATGAAATGAACACATCAGGTCAATTAGGGTGGGGTATGGGACAGGATGTACGGAAGACACGCGAGCTAACCAAAACCACGGAAAGGGATACATCGAAAAGGCATTACCGACAGAAAAATTTCAAATATGATCCCAGAAGAGCCTAGAGACCGGAAAAGTGGGTAAACGTGTGCACTGTTGCCAGGTCGAATAACGGGACCACCTGCTGAGAGCGAAGCGTTTGCTCAGTAAGCGGGGCCTGAAAGGCGAGGTTCACGATGAAAAGACAGCCCAATAGGAATCAAGGTAGAGATAGTCATGGGTGATGCACATGTGAAGAAAAAAAAACAACAAAAGCAACATGGAACCCGGAAACAGAAACCTCTTTTCGCCCGTTGACTTGCGCATTGGGAGTGTCCCATCGGTGCTGAGCTCATCAACTCTAACGCTCTCTACATCAGGCGCTTAAAGACAGCCGGCAAGGGGTGGACGGGCAGCTGCGCGAACGGTGCGGGTAAGATGCTGCTAGGCCGCTGGGACTTACTCTTTGCTGCGAAACTCGCATCGCCCCGCGTCCTTAGAGGGCTGCCTGCCAATCCAAATGCTATATTTCAACCTTTTACCTCCGACATTATGATAATCCTCCTTCGGAACATTTTATGGTGGTTATTAGAAACTTACAAAGCAGAAAAAATGACGTGGAAGAGCAATGCCTACAATTTTACCGGTACCCCTTAGATGAGCGGCTCTTCTAAAATGAGCAGAGCAGCCTTCATATGGAGTTTCCTACAGATCTTCCTGATCCTATAATAGTTCGGTTTCGAGATGTCCAAGAGACGACGGGAAAGGTGTAGCAAAGTAGGAGACCAACTGCTATTGGTGAATGGGTCAAACAACTAAATGGACGTATGGGCGTATATTTGTTACATACCCGATTAATTAAGTTCTAAGACCACTCAAAGACCCGAAAAAAATAGATAGAAGGAAGAGAGGCCATTTGCTGTTGGTGGATGTGGCATGCACCAAGTGTGCGCCGCTAGAATCCGGCGGTAGCAGGAAAATGCTTGACGAGAGCGAAGAGCAAATAGCAATAAAGGCTGATCTGAGCCCCATTGATGCCCGAGACCCTTCCCCTAAATATAGCCACATCCTTGCTCGGGGTTGTTGTTTCGCATTTTTCGATAATGTCACCTACAGCTTCCATTCATTCTTTGCACCCTAGTTTTAGAGCGGAAAGGCGCGTCAACGGAAATCTCTTTTTTGGATGATGAGACTCCGACACCTACTTTAGCCCCGTCTTAACCCTGCTGTTCGCATAAGCCTACATAAACCCTACCCTGGGTGGCGGCGTGCGCCACATGGTGGCGCACGCGAAAAATACACTGGCCGTCCGTTATGGGTTAAAGTGCGAAGCCAAACTGGTCAACGCAACTAATGAGAATTTGGCTAAAAAAAAGTGCAGTCGAAGTCTCCAAATCTTGGCACAAATAAAGATATATGTAGTGAAAAGCTGATATTGTACGTTCAGAAAAGTGAACTGGTACTTCCACTTAAAAATTCTTCGTGCGGGAGCAAATTGTATGTGTCACCCACCATCATCTGCAAGTAGATCCTTCAAAACAGTCCTCATTAGTGTTTCAAACGAAGACGATGAGGCATACTTCGCCATGTAAGATGCAGCACTTGCAAAGTGTTTCCGCACAGAGGGATTACGATCTCGCGTTCCAGATATCAAAGCGTTGAACAACTTGTCTACAAAAATAAATATTAACACAGAACGGAAAAGAGTACGATGTGGAATATTTACCACATGAGCTGGATGGTCTCCTAGTAACTGTGGGGATCTGAGCGCAAGCATCGTGAGTAGCTGAGCGCACGCCGTCCTAGTGCTGGCACCGGCACTCGATCGTAGTTGCTCACATAATCGAGGTTGTATCGCTACCAACACACCGCTGTCAATCTAAACGTAATGTCTACACAACAGAAGTGAAACTTGCAAGGGCCATAAGAAAGCGCCTCACCTGTGGAAGGAGATCTTGAATAGCAGTCATCATAGGCGATGTACGCGCCATCTTTGCTCGCGCATCATCCAGCTGCAAATATGTTTAAGAAATTCTTCAAGCTTCTTTCTCTTGATTTAATAAGAACTACTGAGAGCTAACGTAAGAGCGCTACCACCTAAGCATTAATCAGACAAAGATTGCACAAGGCACAAGGAAAAAATAGAAGTTCACGACTGTACCATTTCTAATTCATCCAAACTGGAGCGAGCAGCCACGTAATTCAGAACTGCCGGCTCAGCATCACTTATTGTATCAATAAGAGAAGGAATAAGTTCGGCGAGGTGGGGACGAAGTTGTGAACCAGCCGTTTTACTCAGCTCCAGCAAAAGAGAAATGCTGAAATAAATTAATAAAATAAAGATAAATACAGTCCCTTAGTAGAAAATAGATCCCGAGTTTTTCACAAAATAGAATAAAAAGATAAAATAGTGCCTGAATTGTTTGTTGATTTTTATTTCGGAATGGATTCCATTCTGGATCAGAACGGGAAGTAGTGAGCTGAGAAATATGCGAGGATCATGGCCTTTCGGTGACTCCGAGGATAGACGAACAGCAAGTTTTCCCAATGTAGTTAGGGCTCGATTTGCAGCCTGACGAACGGACTCCTAAACATCGCATGGAGCAATCTATTTTTAACACAGGTTTATATAAACACGATTACAGAAAACTGAGCAAAAACGAGTAAAGTACTTTTATGTCATCACGTAGCCTGAAAAGCGCAAGCATTAGTTGAGGGGTAATCGAGCGAATGTATCTAGAATCGTTCCCTTGGATCAAGTCCGCTAACGCTAGACACCTGAAAGAATTCTATTGAAGAAGTGTTACAACTAAAGCCAAAAATGAAGGAGAAGCACATGTCACAACTCACGCAGACTCTCGAACACGCCACTCTGGGCTTATCAACTGTTGCTGAAGTTCCTTGGCTATGTCATCTGCATACTCTTCAACCTGAACAGGATCAGTTTACTCCAGCATTAATCTTTCCTGAAGGCTTGCTCTTTTTTATTACTGAATTCAAAGCCTCGTCGGGATTAGTTTTCAAAGACGTGTTTATGTACTCCTCCTCAATTTACGCCAAGTATATATAAGTTCGTGTGCTAATATTGTAATATTTCAGGCACATCCCTGCAAGTTAGTAAGAAAGCTGACATTATGTGGCATCGAGTTAGAAAGCCGGTATGAATCGATACCATACCCAACTTTTCAAAAAAAGGAGCCGGAAATGCTTAAAGACAAGAATGAGTGTGGTACGAGACAAGAGTGAACGAAAGAGGGGGAGAACATAGCGCTATGTGAAGCGGCTAGCAGGGGAGGCACACAATAGACGAAGGGGAGATAGCGCTTTTGCAGCAGAAAGGGCGCCACATCGACGTTATTAGGTGCCGGATGTGCTTCAAAAACCCCTATAGTCCCAAATGCGCCCTGCCCTCTGCTGGCATGTAAAGGGAATGATAACGGCAATGAATTTGAAATAAAACTGCTACAGCTCTCATTTGATTTTTTTCCGAGTGCACTGCTAGCCCGTCCATCAGCACTAACTGCCTCCACTGTCGTTGGATTGGCGAAAGTGCTTGAACCCATCCGAACAACCCATTTCTCAGTCTTCATTTCTTGTTTTTCACAACTGATGCGTCAGTCCGCATATAAAACTACTTCTAATCACTTTCAAACCATCTTGCAAAAGTTATCAAAAGCATTTCGGTGTCTGCTGTTTCAACACATCGTTTCAAAGCTGAATACTCAATAAGAAGATGACAAGAAAATATTTCCAGCCGCCATCAATGAAGAATAGCACGAGGTTGAAGGCCAGGTTTCAGTCAGTCACAACTTGAAAACGTTAACAGTGCAATGGGTGTAAGGAAATAAGATACCAATCAGCTAAAGCACGGTACTGCTCACAATGAAGCGTACTCGGTTGAAAATTAACAGAAGGGGTACTACAATGGAAAATATGAGATAAGGCAATGGTTCTCTGAAGAAAATTTTCAATTCAATGCTACACAAAGAGTGATGATCATTTTAGAACTCCAACTTCTACATGAAATAGAAAGAAAACTTTGGTAATCTTAAAAAAGGATAAAGGATAAAGCATTTGCCGTTGATCAATCCCTTTTTGGGATGCGGCACGCATTCTACTTCCATTTGTACATTCGTAGTGGCGTTTGAATGCGATGTGGCCTATACAATGACTTGCGGGGGCCAGCCGATGTTCAAGTCAGTGTTTTTATCCTCCCAGACAAGTCTGGTACCAATTAACCGACCCCGGAGGGATGGAAGGCTTGGTTGGCCCGGGCGACTCACGACCCAGGATTTGATCCCCGGACCGCTCGCGTGGTAAGCGCGCCACTTGTCACTACACCACTTCCGCCTCACCCGCAGGAAATCCACTCCGGGATAAAGTTATCAAAGGGAATGAGTTTGTATTAATTCGACTCAACTGCCGTACACTTTCATCTCCAAGGAACTCAGAAATGAAGGAAAGGATATCAGTAATAAATTTTTTGATGGCCTATATGTTTCACAACTTAACACGTTGGCGACAACGCGCGTTTCGGGTTTTGCGCCGCGTGGGACCACGGCGATTTTGCAGGCGCCGCCGCCTCACATCAAATCCGTGAATTTTGAGCTTTAAATACCCAAAACTCGGATGCAACAAAATGTTTAGAATGATATTCGATGTGTCAAACTTATCAGAAGGGACAACTGTAAAAAATCGATCGAATTGACGTTTTCTGGCGATGAAAGGCAAGTTTCAGTTGCTTTTGCTGCAGTGAACCTCAAAATTATTTTTGACGCGGTTGCTCCACTAAAAACATATGTCTTGCTATATGTGTGGGTCTGTACTTACTTCTACTGCTCTTTTTTATGACCAAGATTATCAGAATATAAAGGAAACTAGGAATGAACACAATTGGGAAATTCGTAGGGCTTAGAAAACCTTCGCTAAAAAGGAGCATATTCAACCATTCAATGAACCTCGCCGTGTCTAGTCATATTATGGTGTAGTCTATGGAATAGATGCAAAAAAATTAGAAAAGAAGTAGCGCATGCGCGAAAAAAATAATATTTGTGTGTGTGCAGCGCATGCGCTGCACACGGTCCCACACGGTGCTCAAGGTGTGATGCGCATGCGCTGCACAATGTCGTATTCAAAGCTGTTTAGAAAGCCTGGTAAATTCACCTGAATGATTTTGAAGGGTATAAGTCTTCCGGTTGAGCCAGCTTGAGTTTAGGTTTCACTTTTTTTGGACTTGTGGCGAATAATGAAGAGGTGATCACATCACAATTTTGAATTCAACATGAACACGCACATCAAAATGTACACTGTATCAAAATTCAAAATAGCCAAACTTGCTTCGCACCCACAACGCTAGCGCGTAAATCTCAAACTTTAATTCGAAATCGAATTTTATCTCCACTCACATTGGTGCACTTACTATACCATCCTCCAAGTATAAATGGCCTTTGTTCCTTCGCCAACCTCTGCCCGCTATTCTCAAAATCGGGCAGCCTCGGGGTTCAAATATGAAGGGTGCTATATGAAAGGCTGCAAGTTAATGAACAGCTTGGTTACGCCGCTTTTGAAGCTTCCATGACAGAGTTGAGACTTCTTTAACATTAACTCGACCTCTCAACCCGGTGCACAACACAACTCATCTTTTTTTAACTCTGAGCCGTTCCGAAATCAAATTCGGAATTTTTCCGATCGGTATGAGACTGCCTAAATAACTGATTGGGAAGAAGAGGCAATGAGGTTCCGCTTGGCATGCATGCTCCATCATCCTGTCCCATACTATGGTAAAGTTGAACCTCGCTCTGCAGGTTGTAGTACCGACTTTCGCGAAAGACGGACAGGCAGGCGGACAGATAGAGAGACATCAAGGGTGTTTAATATAAATGTAGGGGCAGTTGAGAGTCAAATAGCCCAAGAAATGCCAAATTACAGAAAAAAGTAAATGGGCACGTACAAGTCCTCTACGCGATGCTGTAAGCACGGTCCAAATGGAACGCATCGATTGTCTGACTTTCAAATCCGGATCGTACCGATATCTGAATACAAAAACACTAATCAAAATCGAATTGTTTGATTACCTATTACTGAAGAGAGAATAACTCACCTAAACAGTCTTCGGTACTAGCTGACCAATGAATGGTTCAAATTCGCTGCTGGCTTCCTCTAGCACAGCCGCAAAACCCAAGGCTGCACCCTTAACTACATATTTGGAAACATGAAAAACCACAAGTGCAGAAAGGTACAACTGCATGATCCATATCCATTACCTTTCTTTGAGGTTCCATATGAGTTTATGGTTCTTGCAGATTCATGAACTTATAGACCAGATCAGGTTGATTGAGATCTGTCGCTAGCGAGCACAGTTCCTTATATGTGCTCAAATGCTGTCTAAAATTCGTGTTTAGTGAAATTTCGCTCATTTCTAATCATTTGCACTAACCCATCAGGACCAGTGATTTGCTGTGTTCTTTAGTGAAGATTTCTGTGTTGGAATCACACTTTAGTAGTCGAGAACGGCTTTCCATCGGATATTCGTGAAATAAGATCATTGACCAGTGCCTTTCGCTGGTCACCGGATGCCATTTCGTAGACCAAACCGATTCCACTTGACGCTACATCCTGGGTGAAATCTAAAATCAAGGAAATCGAACACTTAAAGGCAGGGGATTAAGCTGGTACGTTTATTGTTTGAAAATTAGAAAAAAAAAGCAATAAGCAACGTTAACGAGGAGAAAATTCAAAAGCGTCCATATAAATGAATGAAATTGCCCTTGCAAGGACTGGGCAACATCGAGCACACTAAGGCAAGGCTTTAGCGCCATTGCCTCGCACTCCTGAGTTGCGACAGTGTCGCGCCTCTTGAGCCTCTTATCACTCTAGAAGAGGCTACTTCTGGGTATCTAATCCTAACCCATGGCACACACACACATCTCTGACGGGAATATGGCATTCAGCATAGTCACTCACTGTAGGGATGCAAAAAAAGAGACTTTCGGTCGGGTAGAACAAAGGCGCCAACGATTCGAGCCCCGTCCATTTTGGATTCAGGCCATAACATATGGAGCAAGAACTGGTCAAGTATAAAGACCTGGTTCAGCTTAGACCTCGGTCAGACTCGGCGCGAATTTAGCGTACGCTGGACACCAGCGACGGAGCCGCCAGCGACGGAGCCGCCAGCGACGGAGCCGCCAGCGACGGAGCCGCCAGCGACGGAGCCGCCAGCGACGGAGCCGCCAGCGACGGAGCCGCCAGCGACGGAGCCGCCAGCGACGGAGCCGCCAGCGACGGAGCCGCCAGCGACGGAGCCGCCAGCGACGGAGCCGCCAGCGACGGAGCCGCCAGCGACGGAGCCGCCAGCGACGGAGCCGCCAGCGACGGAGCCGCCAGCGACGGAGCCGCCAGCGACGGAGCCGCCAGCGACGGAGCCGCCAGCGACGGAGCCGCCAGCGACGGAGCCGCCAGCGACGGAGCCGCCAGCGACGGAGCCGCCAGCGACGGAGCCGCCAGCGACGGAGCCGCCAGCGACGGAGCCGCCAGCGACGGAGCCGCCAGCGACGGAGCCGCCAGCGACGGAGCCGCCAGCGACGGAGCCGCCAGCGACGGAGCCGCCAGCGACGGAGCCGCCAGCGACGGAGCCGCCAGCGACGGAGCCGCCAGCGACGGAACCGCCAGCGACGGAACCGCCAGCGACGGAACCGCCAGCGACGGAGCCGCCAGCGACGGAGCCGCCAGCGACGGAGCCGCCAGCGACGGAGCCGCCAGCGACGGAGCCGCCAGCGACGGAGCCGCCAGCGACGGAGCCGCCAGCGACGGAGCCGCCAGCGACGGAGCCGCCAGCGACGGAGCCGCCAGCGACGGAGCCGCCAGCGACGGAGCCGCCAGCGACGGAGCCGCCAGCGACGGAGCCGCCAGCGACGGAGCCGCCAGCGACGGAGCCGCCAGCGACGGAGCCGCCAGCGACGGAGCCGCCAGCGACGGAGCCGCCAGCGACGGAGCCGCCAGCGACGGAGCCGCCAGCGACGGAGCCGCCAGCGACGGAGCCGCCAGCGACGGAGCCGCCAGCGACGGAGCCGCCAGCGACGGAGCCGCCAGCGACGGAGCCGCCAGCGACGGAGCCGCCAGCGACGGAGCCGCCAGCGACGGAGCCGCCAGCGACGGAGCCGCCAGCGACGGAGCCGCCAGCGACGGAGCCGCCAGCCACAAGAGTGGGCAACGGGCGATGACTCATCACACGATCGATCGATCACACTACTAATTTGTATGAAATTTTGGAATGTGGCACTTCGCTCGGCGACATAATAACTAGTCTTTTACATAATTAAGCTTAAGGTAAATTAGCGATCAGGACCTCTAAGTCTTTTCATAGTTTTAAGACACAATGAGGAGTTTGAACTATATCAAAATACTTTTGTACGTATGAACTTCTAGAGTTTTTAACCACCATCCCTTTGAAATCCGAGTTAGCCTTCCAAACGTTCAATTCGTTTCCCAACAATGTGTACTATGAAAGCTCTCATCTGTAGTTACATTTTGTCTTTTTGCACGCTACGTCCAAATCCGCATTGTCGTCAAAGGGTTAATCTCCCCCCTGCCAACCGATATCGATCGTGTGATGAGTCATCGCCCGTTGCCCACTCTTGTGGCTGGCGGCTCCGTCGCTGGCGGCTCCGTCGCTGGCGGCTCCGTCGCTGGCGGCTCCGTCGCTGGCGGCTCCGTCGCTGGCGGCTCCGTCGCTGGCGGCTCCGTCGCTGGCGGCTCCGTCGCTGGCGGCTCCGTCGCTGGCGGCTCCGTCGCTGGCGGCTCCGTCGCTGGCGGCTCCGTCGCTGGCGGCTCCGTCGCTGGCGGCTCCGTCGCTGGCGGCTCCGTCGCTGGCGGCTCCGTCGCTGGCGGCTCCGTCGCTGGCGGCTCCGTCGCTGGCGGCTCCGTCGCTGGCGGCTCCGTCGCTGGCGGCTCCGTCGCTGGCGGCTCCGTCGCTGGCGGCTCCGTCGCTGGCGGCTCCGTCGCTGGCGGCTCCGTCGCTGGCGGCTCCGTCGCTGGCGGCTCCGTCGCTGGCGGCTCCGTCGCTGGCGGCTCCGTCGCTGGCGGCTCCGTCGCTGGCGGCTCCGTCGCTGGCGGCTCCGTCGCTGGCGGCTCCGTCGCTGGTGTCCAGCGACGCAATCGCCGAGTCTGACCGAGGTCTTATGTCAATTCAGAATCTATGTATTATCCTTCCCCTTATTTCGTGATGGTATGTAGTGGCCAAGATTACAATAAGCTTATACCGATACGACGAGACCACGTAACACAGACCACACAACAGCAATGCTTGATTAATCTCAAGTATGAAAAAGTCAGGCAAATGACTTGAGTATTTTAACACTAATTATAGTTACAGGACATTTCGCATCGATATGCACTAAATAAATGAAGGAAGTAAAAAATCAGCTGACTGACCGTCGTTTTCTGCGAGACCCATAGCGAAACCAGTCTGGATTTTGTCCAGCATCCCTGCTAATAGACTGGCACGAGCCTTGAAACTCCTTCGAACAATGACGAGTAACCATATTAAAGCCGAACGCCGACGCGCAACAACGATGGCAATGATGATTCAAGGATGACAGCTTCTCGTCAAAAATTTTTGAGAATATCTGAGCCAGTCGCTTCTCACAATTGTCTTGTATTTCACTAGTAAGCGAGCTCAAGCTGCAAATACAGATAACTTAAATAAAAAAAGAACCAAGTCAATCATAGCGAAAACCTTTTGTATAGTACTCAAAAGTCTGCTCCAAAGTCAGATACAAGTTTCTTCGAGAGGTTGAGTAAGGCCCAAGCGCAACAATCAAAGAGCGCTGACCCTACTATAAGCTGAACTTCTGGTGGTGAGGAGGGCCGTTCCCGATTGAATAGAGCACCGCTGACAACTTAATTGGAAGCAAAAAAATGAGAAACTCCAAAGATAATTCTAACCATACCGATAATCTCGATAGAACAAACCTTTATCATAAAAATTGATGAACTCCATGTTGTGGGCGCAGAAACCGTATGGCATCTGGTGTAATTGGCTTCCTCATGCCTGCTGGTCGTAACGAAACAGCATCTTTGCGCGAAAACAGCTATCTTCTCACAAACGGACAATAGACGTTCCAGGACATCTACAGGTAATTCGAACTCCTGAAACTTATGAATATCTTCCAGCAGACAAAACGGTCACGCAGCTCTGCACCGAAAATCAAACATGAAACGTAGAGCGAAACAAACCTTGTCGTGTGATAGAATGGTACGCAATATGTTGGCCATAGAACCAAGCGCTGACTCCAATACATTGTTCGGTTTATTGTATCCTTCTTCGGATATGTTGATGAGATGATTGATCACTGTTAGGACTGTCGAACGAGGCGTTGCATGGGAGGCAATAAATGCGCTGATGAACCAGCAATCCCCTGCCGTAACGTTCTAAACACCACTCATCACAATTCTGAGTAGTATTCCTTTCATTCCATTCCTTTTCATCACATAATCTCAATTACGGTAAAACAAAAGGTTGAACAGTATATTTGTTGACTTTGCTGTTAGGTTTTCGAAAGTCTTTGATCCATATTGATGTTGTGAAATTTATTATTGGACATTCACTGCAAAAGTTGCACTGTGGGCTTGTGAGCTAGGCTATTGTGAGGCCATGCTCTCTTCAAATAATACTAGCGTAGCACTTTGCAGCGATTATAGCTGAAAATCATCCTTGAGTGAGAGCTAGTCGACTGCTCTTGCTCTAAATCAAAAGTGCGCCAATGCAAGCGATGTGGAACGAAGCCTATGTGACGCGATGAGGCTCCAGACGGTCCTTCACCAAAGGGCAGAATTCTGTTGTTCATTTCAGAAAAACTGAAAGAAAGCTGGTCGGCTTGCTAGCCTAATGACATGGGTCACCCAACAGCTGGAAGCAAGTCAGGCAGGGTGAATATCGCTTGAGGATTCCTCAACGGCACGTCGAGGATTCTCTGCCCGGTCAGACACGATCTCTCGCGCGGACATTCACACTCGCCATGGCCGTGCCGTCTGTGCTCTCCGCGCGGATGTTCACTCTCGGCACTACTCTCGCATGGTAGAGAGCTATGGTCGAGGAAATCCTCGACCGTTATTCACCCTGGCTCCACTGAATGTGAAAATATGGGAACAACAGAGCTTTATCCCAGTGTCACCACAGCACACCACAGTTGCTGTTCCTCCATTACTTTGAAAAAAAAAATGTTAAACTACGAGGAAGAAATAGTTCGCAATCGTAGTGACCGCCGGCTCCAAGGGCAGCAAGATTCTGTGTGAACATTTTGATTAACCACCTGTCTCTCGTTCGACCAGATGCTGGACATATGCGTAGATCTAAGGATTCTAACACTGAATCTAAAACTGCAACCTGGTAGGCAACTTCCAGAGTTTTTGAATATGCAAGTGTTTCCTCCCCTACTGGTTCTTACTAAAGAACTCCATCACTACTGGATTCCATTCCCAATGGACCACAATGACGAAGGCAAATGACGGGCTCGCCAGCGCAGTTTCTACACTAGTCAAAGTTCACATTATCTCGGCGTCGGTCGTCAATAAAATATGTAAGAAGGTCCAGCGAAAGTCTCGACACAATCATGGGACATTCTGACCCAGTTTCAGACCTAACACCAACAGACTACCATTTGCCTCTGTGCTGACGAAATAACTGGGAGAGAGGAAGTGTTACTGGAACAGCGTGAAAAGGACTTCTTCGAGTTTTTCGCCCCAAAAACTCTGGATCTCTGAACAAACGGCATCTGCAAGTCACTTGCTGGAAGTTGATGATATTGATATGGCACATGTTTGTTATTTGATTGTGCGAAAAAAGAAAAAATCAAAAAAAAATTGGATTTTTACGTCTGGTACTTTTTGCGCTTAATGGGCTTCGACAGAATAAATGCTTTCTAAGTTCAAGCAAAATCAAGGATAAAGTTTCGCTTACTGTTTTCTCCAATGCTGAAACAGCTGTAGGGAACATCGTCTCACGTTCCTTGACGCCAAGCAAAGAGGCTGCTAAGTGAGCGCCAACGTTAGCCATGTCAGAGCGCGTTGTTCCACGAATTCGTTGAATACATGACGTCAAAAGTGACACAGGGGGATCGCTTGGAGGACATGCGGCCGAAAAACACGTAGCGATGTGGAACAGGGGCACCTCTAAAGAGCGAGGTCAATGCGAACGACAGGATGAAATCTCAAAAAAAAAATACAACCGATGTACCTTGAGCTTCTTTAAGAGCTTGGAGTGAAATCCTTGTTATGCATTCTTGACAAGATGAAGGAAGAATTTTTATTTGCTGAGCTATTTTAGGAGCAATTTCTTTCCACTCATGCCCACTGTCGATAATTTTGAGGTCAGTATGCAAGCCGGCTGCTCGTGCCATTATTGCCCATAAATATCGTGAACTCTGGAGAGGAACCAATATTGCAGAGGTTTTTGAATGGAAATATGAAAGAACGCATACCATTTGATGAATGAGTGGAGAAATAACTTGGGATGACTGGGACTTTTCCTTTCCAGTTTCGGAATCGACTATGTCTACTTTTAGGTGGTCCCACAAATATGAAGCAACTTTTTCAATAGGGACATCGACTTTCAGTGACACATCGAGAAGACGAGTTGCTTCTCCACGTATCTCGTCTCGACTAAAACAGAATATAATAATAACAACGATATAATAAAGTAGGCTTCAAGAGGGATTAGAAGTAGACTAACTTATCTCCACAGGCTTGCAGCAGCATCCATCGCAAGTCGATTTCGTCAGAAGATAAGAATGCTTCCATATATTTCAGCGCGATCAATCGACACTTCGAATTTTCCTAGAAACATTCTATCCCAGTATGCCCGCATTAGTCTGCATAGGCTCCAGAAAGCGAAAGGAAACATGCTTCACCACCTCACTCGAATATTTTCGAGAATATATGGGGTTTGGATGTGAATCTGAATTCTAGAAAGAGCAACATTCGAGGGTTCTGAAAATGCAGCTTCGCCGCGCAGCTTAATATGTATTGGAGCGTAAAGAAATTACAATTATGGGACAAGCTAGGATAAAAATAGCTCAAAAATAGGTTTCAAGAGCGGGAAGAGATCCAAATCCCAGACCAGTGGATATAGGTATTTTACGAGAGAACAGATATCAAGAATGAGGAAGCCGACTAAACTAAACAACGAATCATACCTACATGTGTGAGAAACTCCTGAATGAGCGATTTGAGCTTCTCGTTGATCGACTGGTCTGTCAATTTGCGAAAACCTTCCAGCCACTGAGTGAGGCAGTCAACCACAGCGTACGCGACATCGTCTGGAGCCTTTAGAAAAAGAATAAAAAACCCAACTATCAAGTACAAATCAAAAACAGCTATCAACAATTATGAAAAAGTAAGCTTACATGAGCAATCTCCCTGAATGTAAGCGGTATTGTGTCTATTTGACGCGTAATAATGGATGGATCACGTTTTCCAAGTATACCCATACATCGATAAATCAGTGACAGAGCATTGCCGTTCTTGAATTCACCGTTTCTAAGTGATTAGGTGAACAGTGAGTTTAACTCGTGTGCAATTACCTTGACTTCCTCCCGAATTTTCTGTACACGATCGAACAACAGAGCGGAAAGATTTTTTTGAGCAGCGGCAGGCATCTTTTCGATAACTTTGTACAGAAAATTCAAGGCAGCTACAAGCAGCTTGGTGTACGACGCTTGTGTGAGCCCATCGAGGCATATCTGAAAGTAATCCGGTGTGGGGAACTGAAAGCTAGAACAGTAGCAGATAGAGTAGATGTACTGGGTTAAAGGCAGGGAGTTCGATAAAGTGTATGTTGGAAAAAAAGATCCCTACTGAAAGAAGGAGTTAGCTCCACAGAAGATTCAAAAACGTGACACTTTCGCAGGGAAGAGTGCGCTCATAGCGAGGTAGCATGGCTTTGTCCATCCCTCTGAACGCCTTCGTGCCTGCCAGTCACCGATCGGCTGCGGCAGCACGGCAGCTAACCCCTCATCGTTGAACATTAGCCCTTTCGACAAGGTGATAGAACCATGCGTTCACGTTAGTAATGCCAATTTTCTAGCCAAATTCTTAGTCGTGGACAGATTAGTATAAGAATCCGGCTGAGTTTTGGAGGGGGGGAGGGCAGTAAAAGGTAAAAAGTGCCAATTGTGCTCTTATAGAGCGACAAAAGTCGTCACTCTAGACAACAGAAAACGAAAAAATAAATTCAATATTGGACATACCTTCATATTATTCATATACGTCACAGGTGCGATCGAAGAGCGTGTGAGATATTGCAAAATTTTTTGTTTCATCAAGAAGTTAGCCGGAGAAATAACCGTGCCTTTGCCCATTACTGGTTTCGTTACCGTCGTCGTTCCCAAATAAGCGGCCATCAATTCGTCAACAACCACTTGATTGTCCACACACAGTTGACTTTAAAAGACATCATGTTAAAGTAAAGCAATTTCTATAAATCGCCAATCGATAAATTTTTGAAACCTTACATGTCAATTTTCTTTAGAGCCGCCTCGGCCGCACTGGTGACACTGAAACATTGCATTATGCTTAAAACTTGGAAAATTCGATTTAATATCTGAACATTCAAAACTCACGAGTCGATATTTTGGGCAGAAGCTAAAACAAGGATAGAAAAAATGGCCAACTCATCAAACAATCCAGAAACGAGAAGTTTTAGAGCGCACAATTTGATCTGGAAAAAATAAATTTAAGCACCACAGATAATGCTCAAAAAGCAGCTTCCTAAAAATACATATAGTCGGATCTGGGCACCGACTGGAAAATGAGCACTTAAGAAATATGCATTCAAAGATTGGGGAGATAGAGAAAACAGGGAAGAACTATAGATGGCCGAGCCTTTTTCTGCAAAAATACGGTAAAAAAGAATAAGAGAGAGAGAGTGGGTTTCTACGATGCGAATGAATCGTGCATGAATATAGCTTCACAAATTTGAAGTAATCAATGCAGAAACGGATCCACGAACCGGAACAAGAGTGACGTCTTTGGTGAACACCTTCCCGGCAACCATGAGGTACTCGTCAGCGGTTATCGCTGGTGTGAAGACTTTTTCACCATTTGTGAGAGCAGTGCATGTGGACTTTATTACATCGCTTAAACAGAGAAAACTATGAGAGTTCCTCACAAAAAAGGTAATTGCACTTACGGGGGGTCGACCGGAAAAGCCACAATGCAGTGGAGGAATCTGAGAAGCAATAGCTTCACTTCCTCAGACAACACTAACTTCGGCCAGGTGTGCTTCTCCTTCTGTGTAAGAATCATGAAAGCTGGAACACATAGTGACAGCAGCCTTAATAAAAACAAGCGATTTCGCCTCAATCGTATCAAGAAGTTAACAATGATAGCAGTAGACTCACTCGGCACATTGACTTGTTTCGTTGACCTTCGACGAAAGTACTTCGAAAAATGAAGGTAGCAATCTCAAACGTTCCTCATTAGAGAGATTACCAGACGCGAATCGCAGATATACTAATGAGAGATTCTGGAAAATTTGAATGAAATTTATTAGAAAGGTAAGCCATTAGATTGAACCCTAAGTGATGTCCGCTCTCAATACCGATAATGAAGGCTTGGCAACCTTCGTTATAAACAAATTTTTTAACTGCATACTACGGAAAGCATTCTAGAACTCTCTCCTTAGAGGTCCGTTCTGGATGATCGCAATCGTAGCTCTTCTTCTAAAGAACTCAACGAAAGGAGTATAACAAATGATGTGTCTTGCAGCTTTCGTTGGTGACAAGTAGTCGAGAGTTACTATCTCGTAGAACAACTTCATGTACAGGAAGCTGCAACAGTGTGAAACCCGTAGTAAGTGTGTGTGTGCAGTAGGCGCTCCAAATAATGGAGAGCAGACGCTTTCGCGCGAAAACCACTCCTTCGGATTACTGGAGAAAAGCGCACTTTGTCACTAGCCACATTCGCCCACTTGAATCCTACTCCGGGATAAATGTTATAAAAGGAATGAGTTTGTAATTCGACTCAACTGCGTACACTTTCATCTCCAAGGAACTCAGAAATGAAGGAAAGGATATCAGTAATAAATTTTTTGATGGCCTATATGTTTCACAACTTAACACGTTGGCGACAAGCGCGCGTTTCGGTTTTTGCAGCCTCCGCGTGACGCTACGGCTAATTTGCGCAGACGCCGCCCGTTCACATCGAATCCGTGCAATTATGAGCTTTAAAATACCCAAAACTCGGATGAAATGTTTAGAATGATATTCGATGTGTCAAACTTATCAGAAGGGACAACTGTAAAAAATCGATCGAATTGACGTTTTCTGGCGATGAAAGGCAAGTTTCAGTTGCTTTTGCTGCAGTGAACCTCAAAATTATTTTTGACGCGGTTGCTCCACTAAAAACATATGTCTTGCTATATGTGTGGGTCTGTACTTACTTCTACTGCTCTTTTTTATGACCAAGATTATCAGAATATAAAGGAAACTAGGAATGAACACAATTGGGAAATTCGTAGGGCTTAGAAAACCTTCGCTAAAAAGGAGCATATTCAACCATTCAATGAACCTCGCCGTGTCTAGTCATATTATGGTGTAGTCTATGGAATAGATGCAAAAAAATTAGAAAAGAAGTAGCGCATGCGCGAAAAAATAAATATTTTGTGTGTGCCCACACGGTGCTCAAGGTGTGATGCGCATGCGCTGCACAATGTCGTCAACAGTGTTAAGAATAGCTGGGTATATCACCTGCATTTTGAAGGGTATAAAGTCTTCCGGTTGAGCCAGCTTGAGTTTAGGTTTCACTTTTTTTGGACTTGTGGCGAATAATGAAGAGGTGATCACATCACAATTTTGAATTCAACATGAACGCACATCAAAATGCTACACCTTATTCAAACTTCAAAGATACCAACTTGGCTTCGCACACCAACGCTAGGGTAATCTCAAAGCTTTAATTCGAAATCGAATTTTATCTCCACTCACATTGGTGCACTTACTATACCATCCTCCAAGTATAATCCTTGTCCTTCGCCAACCTCTGCCCGCTATTCTCAAAATCGGGCAGCCTCGGTTCAAATATGAAGGGTGCTATGAACAGCTGGCAGAGCTATGAACAGCTTGTTTCGCTGCTTTGAAAGCTTTCCATGACAGAGTTGAGACTTCTTTAACATTAACTCGACCTCTCAACCCGGTGCACAACACAACTCATTTTTTTAAACTCTGAGCCGTTCCGAAATCAAATTCGGAATTTTTCCTGATCGGTATGAGACTGCCTAAATAACTGATTGGGAAGAAGAAGGCATGAGGTCCGCTTGCATGCATGCTCATCAATCCGTCCCATACTATGTGTTCAAAGTTGAACCTCGCTCTGCAGGTTTTAGTACCGACTTTCGCGAAAGACGGACGGGCAGGCGGACAGATAGAGAGACATCAAGGGTGTTTAATAAATGTAGGGGCAGTTGACAGTCAAATAGCCCAAGAAATGCCAAATTACAGAAAAAAGTAAATGGGCACGTACAAGTCCTCTACGCGATGCTGTAAGCACGGTCCAAATGGAACGCATCGATTGTCTGACTTTCAAATCCGGATCGTACCGATATCTGAATACAAAAACACTAATCAAAATCGAATTGTTTGATTACCTATTACTGAAGAGAGAATAATTCACCTAAACAGCTTCGGTACTAGCTGACCAATGAATGGTTCAAATTCGTTGCTGGCTTCCTCTAGCACAGCCGCAAAACCCAAGGCTGCACCCTTAACTACATATTTGGAAACATGAAAAACCACAAGTGGCAGAAAGGTACAGCTGCATGATCCATAAACCACTACCTTCTTGAGGTTCCATACTGAGTTATGTCTTGCAAGATTCATGAACTTATAGACCAGATCAGGTTGATTGAGATCTGTCGCTAGCGAGCACAGTTCCTTATATGTGCTCAAATGCTGTCTAAAATTCGTGTTTAGTGAAATTTCGCTCATTTCTAATCAATTGCACTAACCAATCGGGACCAGTGATCTGTGTTCTTTTAGTGAAGATTTCTGTGTTGGAATCCACTTTAGTAGTCGAGAACGGCTTTCCATCGGATATTCGTGAAATAAGATCATTGACCAGTGCCTTTCGCTGGTCACCGGATGCCATTTCGTAGACCAAACCGATTCCACTTGACGCTACATCCTGGGTGAAATCTAAAATCAAGGAAATCGAACACTTAAAGGCAGGGGGGATTAAGCTGGTACGTTTATTGTTTGAAAATTAGAAAAAAAAAAGCAATAAGCAACGTTAACGAGGAGAAAATTCAAAAGCGCCATATGAATAATCAATTTCCCTTGCAAACTGGCACATTCGCACCCACCACACAAGGCAAGGCTTTAGCACCGTCGCCTCGCACTCCTGAGTTGCGACAGTGTCGCGCCCTCTTGAGCCTCTTATCACTCTAGAAGAGGCTACTTCTGGGTATCTAATCCTAACCCATGGCACACACACACATCTCTGACGGGAATATGGCATTCAGCATAGTCACTCGCTCGCTGTATGCTCAAAGAAACTTTTTGGCCGCGTAGGAACAGTAGGTTAACGATTCTCGGCCCCTTCCATTTTTAGATTCAGACCATACATATGGAGAAGAACTGTCAAGTATAAAACGGTCAGCTTATGTCAATTCAGAATCTATGTATTATCCTTCCCCTTATTTCGTGATGGTATGTAGTGGCCAAGATTACAATAAGCTTACCCGATACGACGAGACCCACGTAACACAGACCACACAACAGCAATGCTTGATTAATCTCAAGTATGAAAAAGTCAGGCAAATGACTTGAGTATTTTAACACTAATTATAGTTACAGGACATTTCGCATCGATATGCACTAAATAAATGAAGGAAGTAAAAATCAGCTGAGCTCCGCGTTTTCTGCGAGACCCATAGCGAAACCAGTCTGGATTTTGTCCAGCATCCCTGCTAATAGACTGGCACGAGCCTTGAAACTCCTTCGAACAATGACGAGTAACCATATTAAAGCCGAACGTCGTTCATGATGATTCAAGGATGACAGCTTCTCGTCAAAAATTTTTGAGAATATCTGAGCCAGTCGCTTCTCACAATTGTCTTGTATTTCACTAGTAAGCGAGCTCAGCTGCAATACAGATACTTAACTAAAAAAGAAAAGTCACTTATAGCGAACTGTAGCTACCTCAAAATCTTCCTCCAAAGTCAGATACAAGTTTCTTCGAGAGGTTGAGTAAGGCCCAAGCGCAACATCAAAGAGCGCTGACCCTACTATAAGCTGAACTTCTGGTTGAGGAGGGCCGTTTCCGATTGAATAGAGTACCGCTGACAACTTAATTGGAAGCAAAAAATGAGAAACTCCAAAGATAATTCTAACCATACCGATAATCTCGATAGAACAAACCTTATCATAAATTGATGAACTCATTGTTGTGGCGCAGAAACCTATGGCATTTGTTGCTTCCTCATGTGCTTTCGTAGAAACAGCATCTTTGCGCGAAACAGCTATCTTCTCACAAACGGACAATAGACGTTCCAGGACATCTGCAGGTAATTCGAACTCCTGAAACTTATGAATATCTTCCAGCAGACAGAACGGTCACGCAGCTCTGCACCGAAAATCAAACATGAAACGTAGAGCGAAACAAACCTTGTCGTGTGATAGAATGGTACGCAATATGTTGGCCATAGAACCAAGCGCTGACTCCAATACATTGTTCGGTTTATTGTATCCTTCTTCGGATATGTTGATGAGATGATTGATCACTGTTGGGACTGTCGAACGAGGCGTTGCATGGGAGGCAATAAATGCGCTGATGAACCAGCAATCCCCTGCCGTAACATTTCTAAACACCACTCATCACAATTCTGAGTAGTATTCCTTTCATTCCATTCCTTTTCATCACATAATCTCAATTACGGTAAAACAAAAGGTTGAACAGTATATTTGTTGACTTTGCTGTTAGGTTTCGAAAACGTCCTTTTGCAATCATTTGCATGTTGTGAAATTTTTATTTGGAACATTCACTGCAAAAACTTGTGTGAAGCTTGGCCATTGCTCTCTTCAAATAATACCTAGCGTAGCACTTTGCAGCGATTATAGCTGAAAATCATCCTTGAGTGAGAGCTAGTCGACTGCTCTTGCTCTAAATCAAAAGTGCGCCGATGCAAGCGATGTGGAACGAAGCCTATGTGACGCAATGAGGCTCCAGACTCCTTCACCGAAAGGCAGAATTCGTTGTTCACTTCAGAAAGACTGTAAGAAAGCTGGTGCGGCCTGCAGCTTACGACAATGGTCACTTACCAACCAGCCTGAAGAGATCACAGCAGGGTGAATATCGCTTGAGGATTCCTCAACGGCACGTCGAGGATTCTCTGCCCGGTCAGACACGATCTCTCGCGCGGACATTCACACTCGCCATGGGCGTGCCGTCTGTGCTCTCCGCGCGGATGTTCACTCTCGGCACTACTCTCGCATGGTAGAGAGCTATGGTCGAGGAAATCCTCGACCGTTATTCACCCTGGTCACGTGTGAAATATGGTGACACAAGAGCTTTCCCATAAACCAGAGCAACACAAGTTCTGTTCATCTATCTCACTTTGGTAAAAAAAACGTTAATGACTGAGGAAGAAATAGTCTTTCGCAACCCTAGTGACGTAGCGCGTCTCCAAGGAGGCACCATTCTGCGTGAACATTTTGCTTAACCACCTCTCTCGTTCTCGACCAAATAACAGTGGTAGAGTGAAATCTCACGCGGAAGGACTGGTGCTCATATCTAGATCTAAGGATTCCACCTGTGGGATCACCAACTGCCCAACTGTAGGCAACTGTAAAGGAGTTTTTGAATTTGCCAAGTGTTTGCCTCCCCTACGATAGTTCTCGCATTACTACTGATCACGTTCCAAGTAACCACAAAATGACAAAAGGCAAATGACGGGATCGCCAGCGCAGTTTCTACTTGTCAAAGTTCACATTATCTCGGCGTCGGTCGTCAATAAAATATGTAAGAAGAAAGTCCAGCGAAAGTCTCGACACAATCATGAGGACATTCTGACCCAGTTTCAGACCTAACACCAACAGACTACCATTTGCCTCTGTGCTGACGAAATAACTGGGAGAGAGGAAGTGTTACTGGAACAGCGTGAAAAAGCACTTCGAGTTTTTCGCCCCAAACGTAATAACTAAGATCTCTAACACAGAGCGGCATCTGCAAGTCACTTTGCTGGAATTGCATGCAATGATATTGGTTAATGGCACATGTTTCTTGTTATTGATTGGTGCAAAAAAGAACACTTCAACACAAAAAAGAAATTTTTACGTCGTTTTTTGCTTAATGGGCTTCGAAAGAATAAATGCTTTCTAAATTCAAGCAAAATCAAGGATAAAGGTTCGCTTACAGTTTTCTCCAATGCTGAAACAGCTGTAGGGAACATCGTCTCACGTTCCTTGACGCCAAGCAAAGAGGCTGCTAAGTGAGCGCCAACGTTAGCCATGTCAGAGCGCGTTGTTCCACGAATTCGTTGAATACATGACGTCAAAAGTGACACAGGGGGATCGCTTGGAGGACATGCGGCCGAAAAACACGTAGCGATGTGGAACAGGGGCACCTCTAAAGAGCGAGGTCAATGCGACCGACAGCACGAAATCTCGAAAAATATACAACCGATGTACCTTGAGCTTCTTTAAGAGCTTGGAGTGAAATCCTTGTTATGCATTCTTGACAAGATGAAGGAAGAATTTTTATTTGCTGAGCTATTTTAGGAGCAATTTCTTTCCACTCATGCCCACTGTCGATAATTTTGAGGTCAGTATGCAAGCCGGCTGCTCGTGCCATTATTGCCCATAAATATCGTGAACTCTGGAGAGGAACCAATATTGCAGAGGTTTTTGAATGGAAATATGAAAGAACGCATACCATTTGATGAATGAGTGGAGAAATAACTTGGGATGACTGGGACTTTTCCTTTCCAGTTTCGGAATCGACTATGTCTACTTTTAGGTGGTCCCACAAATATGAAGCAACTTTTTCAATAGGGACATCGACTTTCAGTGACACATCGAGAAGACGAGTTGCTTCTCCACGTATCTCGTCTCGACTGAAACAGAATATAATAATAACAACGATATAATGAAGTAGGCTTCAAGAGGGAATGGAAGTAGACTTACTTATCTCCACAGGCTTGCAGCAGCATCCATCGCAAGTCGATTTCGTCAGAAGATAAGAATGCTTCCATATATTTCAGCGCGATCAATCGACACTTCGAATTTTCCTAGAAACATTCACTTATCCCAGTATGCTCACATTAAACTGCATAGGCTGTCCAGAAAGCGAAAGGAAACATGCTTCACCACCTCACTCGAATATTTTGGAGAATATATGGGGTTTGGGTGTGAATCTGAATTCTAGAAAGAGCAACTAGGGTTCTGAAAATGCAGCTTCGCCGCGCAGCTTAATATGTATTGGAGCGTAAAGAAATTACAATTATGGGACAAGCTAGGATAAAAGTAGCTTAAAAATAGGTTTCAAGAGCGGGAAAGAGATCCAAATCCCAGACCAGTGGATATAGGTATTCTACGAGAGAACAGATACCAAGAATGAGGAAGCCGACTAAACTAAACAACGAATCATACCTACATGTGTGAGAAACTCCTGAATGAGCGATTTGAGCTTCTCGTTGATCGACTGGTCTGTCAATTTGCGAAAACCTTCCAGCCACTGAGTGAGGCAGTCAACCACAGCGTACGCGACACAATCGTCCTCGGAGGCCTTTAGAAAACGACTAAAACACAACTATCAAGTCTAACAAGCAAAAACACTATCACAATTATGAAAAAGTTAACTACATGAGCGCCAAAAAATTTTTCCCCCTTCCCCTTTAAAAAAAAATTTTTTTGTTTTTTATAAAATAAAGGATAAAGGATAAAGCATTTGCCGTTGATCAATCCCTTTTTGGGATGCGGCACGCATTCTACTTCCATTTGTACATTCGTAGTGGCGTTTGAATGCGATGTGGCCTATACAATGACTTGCGGGGGCCAGCCGATGTACAAGTCAGTGTTTTTATCCTCCCAGACAAGTCTGGTACCAATTAACCGACCCCGGAGGGATGGAAGGCTTGGTTGGCCCGGGCGACTCACGACCCAGGATTTGATCCCCGGACCGCTCGCGTGGTAAGCGTGCCACTTGCCACTACACCACTTCCGCCCTTTGATAATGCAAAACCCAACTGCAAGAGATACCAAGGCGAACAGGTGAAACTCGGGTTCGGGGAGGGGGGGGGGTCAAGCGATGACGCGACGGTGTTTTCGTCTGCTCTATGCTTACAAGGAAAGGCTCCCAGGTCGCCATGGCCATTCGAAGAGATGTATACCACTAGATGTGCCTTCGAACGCTGATCTCAAATCTACCTTCCAAATCTGCTAAACGATTCTCTGAACGGAGTTATGAAGCAAAACAGCGCAACGGTAGTGGTCGGGACTCACAGTCAAAACGTCGTAGGATCGGTCCCTTATCGTAATTACTGTTTTGCATTCTTCAGGAATTCAGTTATACAGGCTATTAAAAGCCGCTTAGCTGCATTTCTGAAGACCTGGGACCCTTTCCTTGTTAGTCAGCAATGGCGCGTATTTTGAAACTGCCACACAATGGCAAAAGAATAACTGTCCCTGTGGACTAAGCCCTGGGGCCGTAAGGTTCCGAAAGGTGATTGCAACATGTAACCCTCCCGCTTCTTAAATGAAGATTCTGAAGGAAGTAGCAGTATTATGTCAAATGGAACGAAAGTGAATGAGACGAATGAGCTGGAAAACACAGTGCGTGCACAGGAAATGCTGATGATACACGTCGCGCTCCATGGCTAAAACGTAGATCCCTTTAAACAGCAGCGACTACGCTTTCTTGCCTCACATGGAGCAGCATTTTATTTTGCTTTGTGATGAATTAGTGCCAATTATCTCAGATGTGTGTTGAAAGTAAGATCATCTCGAAATCTTATTTTAACCATTTAGAGCACGGTTGTTGGCGCTTTGGTATCCGTTGCAACCATCATGGGCGGTATTCACGACCTTCCCCCAGGGGGTTGGTGGACGGAAATGCCTTCAATTTTTTCCTTAGTTTCCGAATGGAGAGTTGTCACGGGTAGAGGGCGCTACGTAGTAGTTTATGTATGCAAGACATGCGTGGCAACCCGGGAACAAGGGCCAGGCAGGCCAACAGGGAGCCGCATGAGGGGTAATGAGAGAAACTACATCCGATATCAAGGACAAAAGTAAAATTCCAAGGGATTGTCGGTCCCGGGAAACCCCTGGGGGAAGGAGTTGAGTTACCGCACCATGGTCTCTTGTATGGGGCGGGAACGCCTAGGGTCGGGTCGGTCGGACGACAGCAACGACTGCAAGTGTCGCACAGCATCGGGTGCGTATCGATCTGCGACAGCAGCGGTCGGACGACAGCAACGACCGCAGGTGTCGCAGATCGATACGCACCCAATGCTGTGCGACACTTGCAGTCGTTGCTGTCGTCCGACCGACTATGCGTGAGTCGGCGCCGATCTACCGGCCCGGGTAGCAGCGGAATAAAAAAAAAATGGCCGTCTCAAACAACTGTCATAAGGACAGTAAGCGGATCGGCGAGTGGCTCCCAGGCTGCTTAGTAAGTTGTCCGGTGAACCTATTATAGCATTAGCGCATGTCCTGATATCAGGTTGAAATGACGAGTCACTGCCCCATTGGTAAGGTGGTTCTGGTGCCTTCCTCTTGGAAATTCGAATCTGACTTTTAACTTGACTCGGAAAAAAGGCAAGGAATTGATAATATTGCTCCCAAGTAGAGTTCTGCCTTGGTTCTAATTCCGAAGTACACACTACTCCTCACTCTCGACCACCACCCTCACGAATATGGCTGAAGAAAGGGACACAAATCTATTTTGCTCATCACATGCTGTTCCATTCTATCGTTCCCAGCAAAATCGGGAGAAAATCCCATTGAAAATTGCGGGTGTGGTTCGCTAGGACAGAGAGCGACTTTCCGCTTTTCGCGAGCGAAACTTCTTGGGTCTTCGCTCAGGGATCCAGGTTCACAGGCACGGCGGCCCGCAGTAAAAAGTTCGCGCGCGAAAGACGGAACAAGTCGCTTTTGACCTGTCCTAGACTCGCACCCCCCACGAAGACTTTCTCTTTCTTCCCTCTTCCACACCGACATTTTGTAGGAAGTCCACCCAAATCGTGACCTATCCAAAAATGGCCAAATACGACGCCATTGAGAACTGACGCAAGCACGGTGTGACTGTTTCGGAGGGAGGTAAAATCAAATCACATCATTTTCGTGCTGCTTAGACACTTGCGCGAATGTGTTTTTTCTTCCTTTACTCCTATTGCGAAGATCCTTCCGGGACTTTTTGTCCCTACAACACGCTGGAAAATGATAGGGCGAATAATGTAACACGTTAATGGAACTCTTTATGTTACTCCGTTTGTTGCATACTGTTGATGCTTAGAGATTGCGGTGCGAAGCTAGTTGTTCAGTTAGCGTTGTTGCTATCGCACACCTGACAGGAATATGCATCTCTAGTCATGACATCGCTAGCTTAGATAACGTTGTAATGTGTTAATTCCAAGTTAAGATGTAGACCTTTGCTATGTGGAACGCATATCTCTTATCTATACGACAAGAGGATACTGGCGCAGCGAAGTTGGTTTGAGTATGTTGCGTTGAGGGGAAGGCGTTAATAGCCGAGCCTTCGGCGATGATGCGATATGAGCGGGATTCAAGGCATTCTGCTGGCACCATCCAAAGTGAGAGATGACCGTCCGATGCAGAGGCGTACGTTGGTTCATTTAGACTTTGCGCACGCGCGATCGCGGCGCCAGGCGTTCCGTGGGCGTGTCGCGGAAGCATTGAGGGTGATTCCAGTCTGGCCGTGACGCGACCGCAGACGCTAGCGATTCGCGCGATTCGCAAAGTCTGACATCGGCTTTATAGCGGCACATGCGAGAACGCGTCTGTAATTAAGTGATCGCACGAGGCGATGATGCGATGGAGCGACCACCGTGAAAGAATTTGGTACGTGTCAATGTGGTAGATAAAACCTAGACATTAACCAATGGTAGATAAAACCGCTCATTCACCGTACAACAAACCATTTCTGGTTTCTGCTTTTTAAGGATTTTGTGTGGTTGTTGCTGTGTTGTGGGGGCGAGAGAGAGTTAGTTGGAACTGTGCGAGTGTGGAGTGGGTGTTGGCGGTGGGATGGGTGGTGTGAGAGGATGAGTGGAGGAGTTGTGGTGGCGGGTGTGTGTGTGAGTGGCCTCCTGCGCGTACTGTTGGTGTGAGCGTGTATGTTGAGTACGGATGTGTGAGGGCCTTAAAATATGTTGATAGCTGACACTATGATTGGTGTGTGGGGGTGGTTGACAGCAGAACTACCGAAAAGAAAAGGGGGGACTTTCATTGAATGGGAAGATCGGGATTGTGGCGGGTTTCAGTTATCCGGTATTACAGGGCGGCCTGCGCTCTTGGTCCAACCAGGGGTCACCGTCACGTTGTGACGAGCGTTGACCGCGTTTCCGCGCCTTTGGCAGGTCGCACTCGCCGTTGCGCGAGCGTCTGTGTTTACGTTCACTCTCGGATTACTCTCACGAGACGCGTAGAGAGAATGGTTGACTTTGTACCACGGATCTGATCCGTGTCTTCTTCCACTTTACAGCCAAAGCACTTGCAATGTGAGTTGAGGGGAGGGTCTGTCAAATTTCCATTGTTTGACCGCACGCTCTTAAGAAATCTGTCGCTGAGTCGCCATAGAATCAGCCCGTTATTACGGAAGCTTACTTGAATACTTTCAGAATGTCAGGAATATAATGACACGGCTTGTGGCTGGAGGTGCCTCTGTAACACGAGCATTTCTTGGAGTTCGCAATCCTCGAATGTTGGAATCCACTGCAGGGTTTAAGGTACTTGCTGGTTATCTATCAACTTTTTGTCATCAGAATATATGTGTGTTGCCACATATGGCCGATGTCAGACTTTGCGAATCGCGCGATTCGCTAGCGTCCGCGGTCGCGTTGCGGTACCAGCCAATTGAGTGATTCACTGGCCGCGACGCGACCGCAGACGCTAGCGAATCGCGCGATTCGCAAAGTCTGACATCGGCCTTCAGGCTGTTTGTGTATTCCGTTTCATGTTCCAACTAAACATTTACCAGGTTTAAAATGGATGAATCTGGATAACTAAGACACACACCATTACAGGTGAAATCACGCCTGAAGCTGCGATGCAAAAGCTGCTACTTCATTCGTGTCAATGGGCGCTTGCACGTTGAATGCAGCGAGCATCCACGACATAAAGCCAGGGAAATATTCAATGTGAGACTTTTGTGGTAAAATGCTGGCACTGCAGAGAGTGGATAAATGTATCAGTTATTTTCATAGCTGGAGTATTTTTTATAGTTTCACAGTCATTTATTCGAAGAAATAAATGTTCGTTCAAGATGCCTGCAGTATTCAATATGAGCACATTATTGCCTTCAGTCAGCGGCAACTTTCGACACTTCAACAAAAAACAATCTGATTTCTAGCTGGGTTATCCTCGACTATTCTAATAGCATATCTATGGATGTGATATGTTTTATTTCTTCTCTCCATATTTGCTAGGGATGCCTTTCGAGTCGAAAAAATCCCTGAATAAAATAGGATTAAAATAGTAGTCTGAAAATGAAACAGTGGGGATTTAGGATGATAAAACTCACGAAATTTCTCCATCTTTGTGCATTTGTACCATTATATCACATCCTCCGACAAACTCTCCTTTCACAAACACCTAGATTTCTCATGTCTACTAGGTAATCTTTGACTGATGGTGAGCAGGAGCAATTTATGTAAACACAGCTACATACCTGAGGGATAGTTGGCCATTCACTGTAAATCTTTATACCTTCCCTTAATTCCGCATCATTCAGTACATCATAGTCTTTGAATCCGACATTATGGAAGTCAAGCACCTGAAAGAGCAAGTACTGTGTGCCCAAGTTGAAATATCGGGAATTCCTAATATTCATTATTTTACCTGACATATAAATTTGAACCTACCAATTTGACATTTCGCGAAAATCCACACATAGGTTCCTGTTTTGTGCCTTTCATGAATACCACTACATCGTCCGACTGAAACAACAAGTATACAAAGGTAGAATATTTTACACAGAATTTGCAAGGACAGGGAATGACCGTTTTGAATCCTTTTGCACTACATAGTGATTACACCTGCTCTACCTCAGCTAGCCGCTCGTAACACTCACAGAGCGTTTTCATATCGTTTGCTTCAGGATTTGATGACAAGAAGAAAAAAGAAGCGACAGAACGCGTCCAAGAATGAGTACTGTATCCTTCGGGGAATAGCCAGTGGGTTTTTTGAGGAATGCATACCCAAGGTTTTATGGAGTGATGACAGACCACTGACAAAAAACTGACTGAATCTCAGAGAACTTAGTTTGTGCAGGTGTACGGTTTCAACAATATCATTGCTCACACAGAAGTCTCAGCATTTATTATTATTTGTAACAACTAGTAGATCGAGGCTTGATTCTGAGCCCCGCAAGCAAGTACACATGCAATGCAGACCAAAGCATCTTCACGTAAAACGGTTTGTTGCTCTTTTCTTTTGGTTCGCAAGGTCTGATTTCTCAACGTCAACATCACTCTTATTAGATTTTGAGCTTAGCTTTGGGAACAGCAGAAGACAAAAGATGCTCGTAAATTGAGCTTTCTCTGGACACAGAAATACACAAAATAGAAATTAAGAGTAGGAGATCGAGAATCAAGCAACATACCTTGACCATTTTGTCAATCCTATTCCTGAGGTCATCTGAGAGGGATGGGCTGACTGCTGTGCACAAGTTCCTTGTGCCAACAAATGATCGTTGAATGACTCTCAACATTAGCTGAGCCCTAATAATTCACAGCTTTACATAATGAGTGCCAATAAACCTAATCTTTACCTTGCTTATTGGTGAAAATTGTGAAAATTAAAGAGCAAAATGTTCATTGGATATTAGCCATAGCAATCTCGACTATACCGTACAAAGAAACTTTATTCAAAGTATACTAACAATTGAAAGCTTTTGCAACTGGGACTTCAGTCTACGTGAACGATGTAACCTTTCTTGTTGACAACCGTTTTTACTGCGAGAGAACTACTTGTACCAATTGCACATTTTCGTCAGAAATGGGAGCACCAAATTCCGAATGCAGTAAAACCAACACGACCAGCACAGGTTTCATATGCGAAGTTAAGTTACCAAATAAGAAGTAGAGCGAGAACTACTGCTGTCCTATTCGTGTTCGTCAATCATTTACACGACAATAAGGAGCTCATGGCTCTGAGACACAAGTTGGCTGGCTCCTGCTTAGTCGGAGAATAATACATGGATGATATATCAAGGCACATAAAACTTCTCCCTGTACACAGTTCCTCTGGGAGAGCTCGCTAATAATAATACTCAACAATTATAACCAGTTTGTTCAAAACAACGAGTATGTCGACCAATACGGCGTAGGGAGAAAACGACGTGATGAATCGCTTGAGCGGTTGTCGAGGATACACCCATATGCAGTTCTGCGAACATTATCACAGAAAGTAATCCGGTTGGGGCTTTTTCGCAGGTGCACCACGGTTTTCCTGAAAAGCATATGCCACTATGTGAGTGGAGAAGTAACCACTAGACAATAATCACGCTGAAACACGCCGTCTATTTTACGATTTCTAATAGAACGTATTTGAAAAATTGACTTTTGGAAGTCCTTTCAGAAATATAATAAGAGTATTGGTATACAATCAGAGCTTTTATGTATAGCACAAGGAAGAGATGCTATTTTGTTAATGGTTCGTTTGAAATGGGCATGTTAAGAATGTGGGCACGGAGGGTATTTTCACCATTGAGAGGGATGCTGGCATGGTCGCATCCAAAACGTGTAAATGGAAAAGCTATCTAAGATTTCGTTAGTGGAGGGCATGCTCCCCATACCTCATCTATAACAACGACCTAAAGTAGTACCAGATTCCACTCATCGCTTGGGCTGATTTCGCCCATGGGATTACAACGTGACGGAAACTGAATTAGCCGAATAGCGTCTACACCTAACCACCATATTCTGCAGAATCACAAAGGGCATAATATCACTTGCCATGAATCCAGTCTAAAGAAAAAAAAACTGGACATGTTAAGCTAAACGCGTGTGAGTGAGATTTTGCTTCGACCTTTCACACCCACTGCATTGTGATTATAACCATGGGGAAGAAAAGAGAAATTTATGAAGCAGTTGACCCAAAAATATTGGTACACCGTACACAGCTCCTCACCAAAGATACTTTCAAAGCATCCCGAACATATTTCCGGTAAGCAGATCAGCAGCGCCATCCTGCTTACTGACCGGTGTTCGAAGGGCCAAATCAACAATGCATTGCGTCAAGTTTACAAACGGCAACTTACTTGAGGTGCTGCTTCAAATATCGTAAACTCCTTATTTAATTGTTCGTCGAGTTCAAGTATGGCGGCCACATTTCCACATCTGAATAAGAGCAAAGATAGGAAACACATGAAAGGGAATCAAACATCCTTTACATAACTACAGAAAAAGGTGAGGTAAGGTGTATTGTGAAAACTTTGTTTACAACCACTTAAGGCAAAGGTCGGCTCAGGCACGCTAGAGAAGTAATTTCCGTGCCTGGACGGTTGTATGTGGGTAGCTGCACACATTGCAGCAACTTCCACCTTGAAAAACGTCGTTAAGGCCCCGGGGCGTTCGGTTTCAATCCGGGACCGCCCACCTCCGGAAGTGGTGCGTGGCTGGCATAACGTGTGAAATCAGCTAGGTTGATTGCCGTATCAACCGATAGAACGACTGACATCTCCAGAAAACTTGTTTGTACGTGCCTCTTTCCCCAAGCCAGCCTCCTTCACTGCTAGTGGGAAAGAGGGTTTTGTTAACGGCCTTGTCGACGGTTTTTCTCAGTTTTTTCTCCACTGTCGTTCCACTTCGCATCTCTATACTCAGTTTCAATCGCCATAATACCCCCTTATTGAGCCCGACTTTTGCCTTTAAGCACACGACTAAAATATTCTGAATTCACTCGTTTGTTATCTTACGCATAGCATTTTTGATCTAGTGAGTTAGCCAAATGAAAATACGCTGCTCTAGTATCACATCACACTATCACAAAATGTATATTGATGAAAAAAGATTCGAAACACTCCACCAGAAAGACATTTAAAAAGTCTCAAAAAAGAACTATGCGGCACAAGCGGCGCAATGTATTGCGCGGCACAGGTTTTCATGAGTTCGAAAGTGGCTTGGTGCGCAATGCGTTAAGCATAACATCAGACAATACTGAAGCATGGCGTAGACCTTAGACTTCGCAATAATATTCCCTACAGGCTGAGAAGATTTGGCAAACATAAAAGGGTTTTCCACAGAGCAAGAATTTGGAACCTCAAGGATTCATATACTTACCGATAACAGTAATTCGGCGCCGACCACACCGTTAAAACACTGTCGTTGAAATGCCATTTATAGCCTTCCATAACCAACTGATGTGCCCGACATATGAGATCAACTCCATTCGTATCACAGAATGTCTGAATTGTTTGCATTGATACCTATACTGACATCATAACATCGACATTGGAGTTGGTGGGACATGGCCAAAATAAATTCCACATAAACTAAGCACCTACTCCATGATGGGAAGCACAGATGAAACGGTGTAACAGAGAAATTGCTAAATCGGTCCAGACCATCCAAGAGACAGGGAAAAGACGGAAAAGTTGGAAAATATGAGCAGTAGATTGATGAATGGGATGAAGAGTATTCATCCAAAAGGGACAGCATGTTTTGTTAGTGGACAGCGCTACCAAAAACTCTTAATTCGGTTCAGAAACAGGCTACATCCTAAAAATATTCCCTGCAGACTGAAAATAATTCAAATAAGCAATTTCTGACATGAGACAAGCATGCCTGAAGTGGGCGTGTTTCTTCACCTAGATTATTGGCTGAAACTGGAACCCATACCATTCAAAAGAAAATTGTCTGCCACGCAGAGCCTCATATTTTTCTTCCAGGTTGATGCTGTGAATTTCAGGTCCGCGAAACAGGTCCAATCGACGAAAAGTAGCCAAACCGGCGATCAAATCAAATTCTGTTTTCCAACGTGAAAAATCAGTCGATGATCTACCCCTTACTTTTTCGAGACCATCTTAACAGTGCTCCATTGGGTTGCCCAACAAATTAAGTTGCTCTTCTTACGGATTAGCTTCTCCTCTGGAAATTGCCATGCGAGGTTGCGAAAAAGTGGTGAATGTTTAGAAATAATCATGTCTAGGTACGAGATTCTGGCTCATTCCATTGCCTTTTAGGGAAATTTTTCCGAACCGCCAGGGGGTCTCGATTTCACCTGCTTCATAATGAAAATAAAAATGAAACATAAGGTCAAATATAGCAAGAGAAGCTATATCATGATTCATGAAGTAATGTGGAAACATGGTGTTTTAGAGCAGAAATTCTTGTTTAGAAAACTACGATGGCTTAGCGTTCGACCAGAAAAACCGTTATCGGAAAGAAATATGACAACGATGTTTGGACAACCCAATAGCTGAAGTTTCAGAAGAGTTCGTGACCTCTTCACCCGCTTCGCGATGCGATTACGCAGATGCACCTCAATAGTCACTCTCGTTCCGTGAACATGGAGACCCTCGGTGTACCCCGTCAGACCGCCATAGAACCATCAGACATTACCCTGCTCCCGGTACAATCTCTGAATTTCCTCAGACTGACAGACCGGTCAGTGCTACGCCCACTCGGATCGCGAAATGATAAGAAAGCAACGAACGTAATCCACGTCGAACGAGAAAATGGCGGAAAGCGTTAATCTTCGGAGAGGCGGTGCGAAACATTATTCGAACAAAACTTGGGATCTATCATGTGTCCTTCATCCGTTCTCAAAATCTGTTAACGCGCGCGCGGCAACTGGAGAACATCACGGTTTTTTTGAAAGAGAGTATCCTCACCGTTGAGGCTTCCATAATACCCAAAACAAGCATACACTACTTCCCACCCCGTCAGTGTCATGCTCTGGTGTGAATTGTATTCGAAAGGCCAGATATCCTTGATCTTCGTAGAGCGGGGGTCAAATTAATAAGGAAAACTTTCGATCCATAAAACGACACTCTTTATGTAACACCCAAGAGAAAGAGACCAGAAAATGAGGGCATGGTCAAGCTCTTTGTACGCGCTGCACGCTACGAGCTGAGCAGGCTATGAGCAAAATATCACGATGTTCCGGTCATGTGGCTGAAGCCATATTTGAAGCACGTATTGATAAGCCGAAACAAACTGGCGTTTACATTCGAATAAATACCTTGACAACATCCGCACCAAAGAGATATCCTGCCCCTCGTGGACTCATTCCCCATCCCACCGATGAGTCCTCTGGATCCGACCACAACAGGTCGCACATTGGGCCATCATGCGGTACCTAAAAACTTTACACATTACATACAGATTTCGGTCTCGAAAGAAGAAAATCGTGAATGGTGTTAGGGAATTCATAGCAACTGGAGTTTTGAAGGCAAACGTAGCAGAGCCCTTTTCATAGATATCTCACAAGAAAAGAGATCGAGACCTTCAAATCTAGCTAATTTTTTTTTCACACTACTCTTGAAAATAGAATGAAAGAGATGGCACCGAAACTTGTTCGCCTAGAAACGAGAGTCCCTGAAGTTTCGCACCACAAGCAAAACCGGACAAACAGATGATTATATTACGCGGACGAACAATTAAATGAACGAAACCAGTTACCTCTTGTTTTCGGTCAATTACACGTATTTGGTCCAATGTTTGAATAGATGGCGATAGCCCTCCATGTACGCAGAAGGCCTATTAACAAGTAAAAAATAAGAGTAGGACAGTTGCGGTAACATTTCATTTTTCCAAAAAAAAACAGTTGAAACTGAATAGTGCACTACCTTTCCGTCGATAACAGCTGAGAGTGAAAGGTAGTCAAAAACTTCTGTACAGGCTTTCCAGACGGCTGCACTACCGTACTTCCGTAAGCATTCATCATAAAATCCATATACCTTGAAAGACAGGATAAACGAATACAGTCGCTGCTTCGCACACAATGAGAACTCTACTCGGTCGCCGCTATGGTTTACAATCGCCGATCATATCGCCTGAATGCACAGCCTAGTGTGAGGTGGACACCTATTGACCATCAGCTGCATGATCGGATGAATGGACTCGATACGTACCTACCCACACTCTGTTGTGCGATCAGACGATTGGTCCGATCGGCAAACTATAACTGTAGCAATAGACATGACCTCATTGAATAGACAAGAAAAGATGGGGAAAAGTCGACATGGGAGGACGGTGAGGGAGGATGCGAGATGAAGGAAAGTTACCAAGAATTGATGCGAAAGGTAATCCGGAGAAACACGGTCAAGAAGAGGAGCAATTGAAAGAGAACAGTCTTCTTATTTGATAGTTAATAGGTTGACGAAACGCCATTGTGTGCGCACCTACCCAATTTTTTTAAACAATATTGCATCAATGGTGGTAGTGTGTTCTATTTGTCTTATCCAACAAGGACTTGGACAGTTTTGGGACATAAAAATGGAGGAGCAATTTAGTAAAAACGAATCTTCTCCGTGTATGTGAGATGTTGGACGTAAGTGCTCGCGTAGCCAATACGCTAATGTAGCACGCAACTGAACTCTCCTTCAAAGCACAAACCTAGAAAGACAGGATTTTCTTCAGCATGAGTTGAAAGGTGTGGTAATTTTTGACAAATGATCACAAAACCTCAGATTTTAAGATAGACCTTCACAAAATTCCACTGCGCTAACGTAGTTGCGATGAGGGAAGTCGCACCCACGACGTGCGCATGTCTACCCCTCTCAGCGAGTATAAACTCGTCCATTTCAACTTTTCACGAATGTCAAATGATTCCCCCATCCCCTTAGACTTGTTGTCCAGATGAGTTGTAGCTTTAGTTCGCTTTTTATTTTCTCAATCCACATGTTGTTCAATAATAAATTAATGAATCAGAAAAAGTGAACCATAGACCCCTGCATTCCCCTGGTTCATGGATTCCTCGCTTCTCACTAGAAGCGCGAATGCTGTGTGCCGCGGCAGCGAATGCCCCCCCCCTCCCAACTAAGTCAGCAAAAGAAGTCAGAATCCACACAGAATTCAAAAAGGAGCAAAGCGAAGTAAAAAGAGAAACTCAGTTGAGTAGGTGTAGTGAAATCTTTACATTGTGAAATAGGCATAAAAGACAGTCAAAGCCTAGGAGCAATACAATGTTCAGCATTTCATACCTGCGTAATTTGTCGACTTTCATGATTGCCTCTAATAAGCATCATGCGATCTGGATATCGAACTTTTAATGCGAGTAGTAGAAGAAAAGTTTCTACTGAATAGAATCCACGGTCTACAAAATCTCCAAGAAAAAGGTAATTTGTGTCAGGTATTTGACCTCCAACCTAAATAAGTAGAATTGCAAGGATAAATTAACGCAGGAACAGAAAGAAAAGCAGAAACCACCTTGAATAACTCCATGAGATCATAAAATTGGCCATGGATGTCACCACAGATCTAGATAAAGATAAAAGTGAGAGCAGACACTTTTCGTGTAGCAACCATTGGCAAAATAACCAACCGTGACCGGTGAGTCTATTACTTGAACATTTCCTTCTTGAACAAGGATTTCTCGTGCTTTCGAACATAAAGACTTGACATCCTGTTCCGAGATCAATTCACATTTCATCAACGTTTCAATGTGCCTATAACAATGGTGAATAAGTCGTCGGAATATATTATTCACAACTTCCCGCACAAGCAAGCACCTGTTTTCATGTTAACATGCCTGCGTTGAACTAGCTAACAACACATTATCAAAAGGCAATACCACGTTTTGTGTGCGGTAGTGCCTTTTTTGCCAATTATTCCTTTGAGTTATTAGGACTTCAAATTGTAGCGAATTCAAAACCTTGACAATGAACTTCACCAGTCCTTACGTACAAGAGAATATCAGCAGCCTTTTTCGATAATTGGACCTTAAGTTGTGTGGATCGCTAGGACAAAAAGAAACTTTCTCGCGTTTTGCAGCGCGAAACATTCATATTGCTCGAACTGGCCTTCGTAGACGAGAATTTTGTTTGCTCGAACCCTTGTCGCATTATATTGATGCCCGGATCGTTGGCCAGCTGGCAGTTTTCACCAAATTCGCTGTAAACTTGTATGCAGGGGATACTTGAAGTTCGATTACGAATATGACATTCGTTTTCGGCATTTCTACTGTCCTTTCTTCTCCGTTTCCCTGGGCTCTCTCACTTATACACATTACCTAAGACTCAGCACAGGGGAAGGAAGAACTCAAGATAGGTAAACCAGCACACCATGTGGCAAGTTTTAACACATTGACGACCGCGCGCGTTTTGGCTTTTTTGGCCGTGTGGGACCGGGCCGATTTTGCGAGTGCGACCGCCGCACCTCGGATCCGTGAATTTTTATTGATAACTTTTTAAAGCACCAGTGGTACAAAAACATCTCAGTAACAGTCAATGCGTAGAAGGTAATAGAGTATATAGTGACGAAGTTCCGATTAAAGAACATGTAATGGTAATGAAAAAGGAAACTTTTAGTCATTTTATCTGTAGTGGATGCCAAAAGCTCTTTTGATGTGGTTATACCAAGTGAAAACATGTATTTTTCTGTCTCTTTAGATTTGCATTTACTTTCACTACCCTTTTTTATTGACGTGTTCATGAGAATAGCATGAAAACTATTAATGAACCAAGCCGCCGGTTTCGGTGAGCTTGGAAAACTTCTTCTAAACTGGAGCATATTTGAACAAACAATGACCTATGTCGTTCACAATAATGTTATGTTCTAATCCATAGAAGAGAGACAAACAATTCGGGAAAAAGCTGCGCATGCCCTAGAAAAAGGGATGATAAGGGTGAGACGCGGTAACGCGTCTCAATGTCCAACGAGGTGCGCAAAGTGAGACGCGTTACCGCGTCTCAATGTCGTCAATGTTTAAAGCGATGAGATCACAGGGTGAGAGGCTTACATACAACGGAGCCCTCCTCTCCCTGAAGGCTTAGTCATGGGGCGGTATTCAATCCTTCCCCCAGGGGGATATATCCCCCTCCTCTGATTCAATCCTCTGGGGGACAAAAAAGGGTTGCGTCATAGGACCTAGCATACCTCTGTGTTTCTACCTGCCAGACAGTTAGAGCAGCGCTACTACCCTCCACTGATGAAGCACTCTTTTCCCTGAGGGGTCGCGCTGCTCTAACTGTCTGGCAGGTAGAAACACAGAGGTATGCTAGGTCCTATGACGCAACCCTTTTTTGTCCCCCCAGAGGATTGAATCAGAGTAGGGGGATATATCCCCCTGGGGGAAGGATTGAATACCGCCCCCTGATCGCGATCTAACAATAAGCGATAGGGTCAGACTAGCAGAGCATAGGGCAGTGGACAAAACTGAATGTTATAATCTCACAGATCTGCAAATAGCTTTGCTACGCAATTTTACAACGCGAGTTGTGAAAACAGCCCTTGTTGCGCAAATTCGGCTGTACAAAAAAATTGGTGTCTTGCCCGTAATTAGAGCATCGAATTACCCTTATGAGCAAAGTTTGACGAACATTAAGATTTTGAGATATTGGTGTTGTAACGGTTGAATGAAGCCAGATTTTTCGATTGCGACTAAACATTCATTAATGAAAGTTATGCTCTTAAATATGCGAACAAGGCAATTTTCAAAACGCGTAATGAGGAAATGAATGATTTCTGTGTAAGTTGTTTGACTGAGTCCAATATTGTTTCTGGAGGATAGCCAGCAAACTTGCATTGAACTATATATGATAATGTAATGAGACTCAAGAAAAACATACTTGTCTAAATCATCGACTGACATGTCTATAGGACCTGCACCAGCGGTGACAGGTGAGTCGGCTCGAACCTCAGAAGAGGCCAAATCAGCAAATCGAAGTGGCCATTACCATTTATGCTATGCTGAACAAGAATTCATTTTTAACTGCGACAGCGCGTAGGAAAGATCCGAAAAGCGGTGCACTAGTAAATAAGAGTATGTTGGCGGAGACAACGCAGAAGCAGTTACAATAAAACAAGGCGACATTTAACCACAAAAGCAGCTCTCAAGGGTCAGCGACCAATAGGCGAAGAAGCCTTCGATTCAATGAAAGATGAAGACTAACAACTCTGAATCCCAAACCTATTAAAAGATATTAAAGCTGTTAAAGAACTGAAGGTTAATATAAAGCTAATAAAGGAGTGAAGGCTCATATGAAATATCGTCAGATCAAGAGGAACATCGCACAACTCAGTAGTGAATTTCTGGAGAGAAAATTTGTGGAAAAATTCAAATAATTCTCTTCATTCTACTCTCTCTTTTCTCGTTCATGTGATCCTTGAAAAAAGGGCCACACGGTTTTCGGGCTCCTACAAAAACTTATTTTTCATTAAATACGCTGCCTTCTTTGCACGAACATGTAAACAAATACTTGCACGAGAAATACGAATGATGCTAGACAAAGAGCTCTCAATGCCCAACGATTGTTGACTAATAATTCGCCGTGGGTCAAGAATTGACCACAGAGCATGGCGCTAAACTAGCATGTCTGACAACACCCATTGCACTTCATTCTCCTGGGTTGGTTCATAGTTTGCTTCCAGTGTTCATGAGCTTCTTCATGAAAAGGTATCAATGGTCCGAGTATGTTGCACATAAACGGTGCAGCTCCGATGGCGACCGGGCGACGTTCAACGTCGGCGGCGCGGCGGCCTGATTATCGACGCGGCGCGGTCTGGCGGAGACGGGGCGGGCCGATGCCCACGGCGGCGGCGCTGGCAGATATGGGCCTCGGGCCTTCACTGCTGCTCGCGCTGCGCATGCCATGATGACGTGATGACGTCGATGAGCCTCGTCATCTGCAGCACCGAAGTACTCATCAACTCCACGCATCATGCTCATCAAGGAGTATCGTATACTCCTGCCGATGACCGTGGAGGAGTATCGCATCGCACAGTTGTACATGATTCAGGCAAGTCCCTTCGTTTCGCTCTAGTTCTCGTGAATGGTCCGACGATTGCCAATTAGGCACGCGTCTGCGCCCAACATGATCACACTTTCCGAGTAGTTGCGTAATTGCACTCGGGGGTACTTGCTATTGCCGATTACGGTAGAACTTATCATATCGCAGTCATGTCATCCTGGCTAGCCTTTTTTGCTATGGCTCACAGAGGGACTCGTTTCGTCAATTTCCAGAGAATCACCAACTCCTGTGGAGTTGGAACCAGTCGCAAACGAGATTTTAAGACAATTCTGAGATTCGTGCGTTCATTTTTTCTTTGTGCTACTGATTAGTCAAGGAGAATTGCGAAGACATTCGCTAAATGATGTCCATAGTTCAGACCGAATCGCACTATAATCTCATTTTCTTTTCGTCGTTGTAATGTACTGAAAGTTGACTATTGGAAAAAATGGAATTTGCAAGGTTGCTAGTGCAAAACCATTCAAATACCGTACGCCAGCTATTTCTTCTGCTATCTTCCTTCTTACCTATTTCACAAAATAACGCAGTTTATTGTTGAGTTCAAAGTGCTGCTCGATGGCGTAGTAGTTAACAGTACTGGTTTGAACTGCGCTCTCACGCTGGTTCGATCCTTGCCGCAGCTTTCAGCTCAGCGCAAATCACTGTGTTCTCGAAATGACTGTGAGCTCAGATGATTTATAGAGAATTTGAAGATCTATTCGGATTTTTAGGGCTATCTGTAAGCAAGCTTAAAGTCTCTCTCTGTTTTTAAAGTCTCTCTCTTTTTTTTTTAACAAACTTTCAAAAAAATTGCTATTTATTGGTTTCAGTTGTGAATATTCCTGGTGTCAGACAATGACTGGGGTGAAAAATCTAGCACAGATATTGTATAAGAAATATCGACACTATAAAAAAACACTGGTTTCACAAAACATTCACATGTTTCAGTTGAGCGCGTTCACACTTGATGAAACTTGAGATAACGTTATCTGAGAAAACTTTCGCTAGACGGAATGAATAAACACATCAAGAGTGTGAAGTTTTGAAAATCCATTCTGTATGCTCTTTTTTAGTGTTTTCTTTTATGATTATTTCTTGCTCTTACTTGTTCGTTCTTCGTCGGATCATGCTGAATTAGCCTGCCCAAAAGAGACCTGCATGCGCCGCTATCCTCTCATGCCGGAATAATACATCTTATTCACGGGCGGGGATTTTATTACCAGCATTTGTTGTCGCTCTCTTTGCTATTGCTTTGTTTCCGTGAATCGAGCAGCCGAGAGTCTATCGTTTGTCGTCCAACGATATCAGCAAACAGACACCACGATTATTGCTCAATTGACAGTCCCAGCGACGGCGAGTGTCGTGGGAAACTGATTTACGAATTCCCACAGGTAGCTATACAGAAACATACCCACTAATGAACTTCGCTCTTGGCCACAAAGATTTTCTGTGATTTACACACCATTCACTGTTTCTAGGGGAGATCATTTGCAATGCTGCACGGGGAAGCCTTTTTGTTTTGGATAAGCCAGCCGGCGTCACATACCTTTCCCAGAACTAACACACGAAAACTAATGCAGTGCATATGTAATGCAACAACGCGATGCAATCCGTGAAATGTCGAGTGGATGTAGTTATTCACGCGTCATGTTCAGAACTGCACGAATGGAGTTCAATTCACTGCGCTCATAATTGACTTGGAATAAAGAGACCGTTTTGTGACAAAAGAGCGGTTTTTCAGAGCTGCTTTCTTAATAGAGAATTAATTATCTTTTTTGGTTGACGTTTTTTGGGCATCTGGCTATTAAGGACGACATTCCTTCACACTGCCTTTCTAGACCTTGCCACCTGTTGGAGAGAAAGAAACCAGAAAGAACAATAAAATACGAAGGGCTAAGGTTCCAATGAAACGTTTAACTGTAAATGCGCTCATCGGTCACGCAACACGCCGCTCTCATTGTTTACTACTTAGTCTCTTCTCCCAGCCGCTACAGTCATTATGTATTTTTCTTATTCCGTTTGAAAAATTGCCATTTGAGTAAAATCCTCGAACAATGTTTGAAATTACTGTCTGGGTTTAATTATTATTTGCCCTTTGGATAAATGTTTCTTCAATTTGCTTGAGCTTTCTATTCGTTACTTTCGCGTATTAATTTTTTGTCTTCTTTTTTCATAGCTCTCTTTCCCTCGAATTCTTCCTTTCAGTTATATCATCTCGGCGACACTGGAATGTAGTATTATCTATTCTGTGCCGCATTGTTTAGCGATGGCCTCTTTTGCACTCGTATTTTGCGGTATGTTACTCTTTCTTCATTATTCGCCTTTCTTTAAATAGACTTTTCGTTTGGTTTTTTTCTAGCTATTAGCGAGCTGCACGATTAAGAAACACTAGAAAATGTTTCAATTCTCTAGTTTCAGGAAGCGAAAAATGATAGAGGCTGATGTCAGTCATAGACCGTGCTGTATCGTTGTTAAGGAGGGTCCTCCAATCACAACTAGCGTGGCTTAATACTTTCGGATGCCAGAGCAAGGGGGTGGATAAAGTTCTGCGACAGCATGGTCAGAGCTCCACCTGGTTTGGTAAAGGATAAAGCATTTGCCGTTGATCAATCCCTTTTTGGGATGCGGCACGCATTCTACTTCCATTTGTACATTCGTAGTGGCGTTTGAATGCGATGTGGCCTATACAATGACTTGCGGGGGCCAGCCGATGTTCAAGTCAGTGTTTTTATCCTCCCAGACAAGTCTGGTACCAATTAACCGACCCCGGAGGGATGGAAGGCTTGGTTGGCCCGGGCGACTCACGACCCAGGATTTGATCCCGGACCGCTCGCGTGGTGAGCCGTGGCACTGCCAATGACACTAAGTTTGCGCCGAATTGTTTTTGGGTACGGGAAGCAATTACGAGAACCTGTTTATCCAGGAGGATGCAGATGGCTATCACGAGGTGTATGGGCTAGGTTATCGGACGCCTGCACGCAACAGCTGGAGAGAAGGGAATTTGACATCATCAAGGGCACTTCACCAATGACAACGTGCGCTTCACCTTATAACTTTAAGAGTGAGAGATGTAAGATTGATGGCTAAATGTTTTCCGTTCGGCGTTTGACGTCATTCGCGGCATCGCTGCTTTACCCGCTGAACGTGCAATATTGATTCGAAGAAGGACAGTGCACAATTGGCTAATTATATTTTCGCTTAATAATCCTTTGCCTTTCCAAAAACAAAGATGACCGGAAGGTAGTGGAAGTCCAATAGTATTGGCTTCATATTATGTTATCTTATGCATTATAAGATTGTCCTCAGCCCGCAGCAAAACCCTATCAGGGCTATACATCCGATGTGGGATCAATTAAAGCGCAAAGCGTTTGAAGGGGTTAATTTGTTACCCGCGTATTCGAAGGACGTATTTTTTACTGTCGCTGTAATGCGAATCGATTCGCAATTGCGTGTTAGCAAGTAGTTGAAAAAATTTACCAAAGACGCCTCTGTTGCTTCGCGACAGTGGGTTATTCAACAACCTAACGGATACCCCGTTTGCGTTATATGTCTTTAAATACAAAATGCTGACGAACTGTCGAGCACAGGACGTGGGAGGTGAACCACTAGGGCTCTTGTGTAAAGACTCGCGAAGCCCACTGGTCGAAACATTATACACTCGAAAGTTCATTTTTATGCGTCGAGGATTGATTAGATGGTTGACAAGGGCGCAGACCGATGGGTTACTGTAGTTCAGAGAACGTTTTGAGGGGTCTCTACTCTCAGCCTGAGAGCTTCCTTTTGCCTGTAATAGCCACAAGCCGAAGCTTTCATAGGTAATTATACCTGTCCGACTAGGTTCATAGTGATGTTATAGTTACTC